GATCGATTGATTGATTGATTGATTAATTGATAGATTGATTGATTGATTGATTGATTGATTGATTGATTGATTGATTGATTGATTGATTGATTGATTGATTGATTGATTGATTGATTGATTGATTGATTGATTGATTGATTGATTGATTGATTGATTGATTGATTGATTGATTGATTGATTGATTGATTGATTGATTGATTGATTGATTGATTGATTGATTGATTGATTGATTGATTGATTGATTGATTGATTGATTGATTGATTGATTGATTGATTGATTGATTGATTGATTGATTGATTGATTGATTGATTGATTGATTGATTGATTGATTGATTGATTGATTGATTGATTGATTGATTGATTGATTGATTGATTGATTGATTGATTGATTGATTGATTGATTGATTGATTGATTGATTGATTGATTGATTGATTGATTGATTGACAAAAGGACCAATCCTCACCTGAAGTGATAGAGAGATTAAATAGCATCAGCAAGAGGTATGCTGAACTGAAGCAACTGGCAGACCTCAGACAGCAAAGGTTTTTATTTTATTTTATTACAAATTATTAAAAAAATAATTATTATTATAACTATATTTTAATGAATAATATAACTCATTCATTTATTTGTATAAGTATTTGAATTATTCAGCAATGTTGATAGTTAATACAAATTGCGTGTCATAGATAGATGAGAATTTCTTTGCGTTTGAATCCAGTCTCTGCGAAAACGAAGCCAAGCATCTTACTAATTACGCTATCGTCTATTGATAAATATAATTTAATATAAAAATTATATTAAGTTAATAATTATGCAGGCTAACTGATGCTTTGGTCCTCTTCAAGATGCTAAATGAGGCTGATGGCGTTGAACAATGGATTACTGAAAAGGTCTTTTTTAATTTATTCATTTTTTTCGTTCGTTCATTCATTCACTCGTTCATTCGTTCATTCAATCATTTATTTATTTATTTATTCATTCATTCATGTACATACATACATACACACATACACACACGCACAACACACACACATACACACACACACACACACACACACATGCGAACATACACTCACATACAAACAGGAAAAGCTAGTGCACAGCATGGTAGTTACAGATGACGTTGAAGAGATTGAAATACTTAAAGCAAGGTAAATATTAATGTCACGCACACACACACACACACACACTCACACAGACACACACAGAGACACATACAAACACACAGCAACAACAACAACAACACAGATACGACACGTTTGATAACGAGCTCCAGTCGAATGCTGACCGAGTCGTTGTGGTGAACCAACTGGCCCAACAACTACTCAATGCTGACCACCCGGATGCTGACGTGATCGTCAACAAACAAAAACAAATTAATTCTCAGTTTGTTTTGCTTTGTTGTCTTTGTTTTATTATGTCTTTGTTTTATTATGTCTTTGTTTTATTATGTCTTTGCTTTATTGTATTGTGTTGTTGTTTTTTGACGAAAAGCTATTTTTGTTGCTTGAATGAATGAATAATAGAACGAACAAACGAACGAACGAATGAATGAATGAATAATAGAACGAACAAACGAACGAATGAATGAATGAATAATAGAACGAACAAACGAACGAATGAATGAATGAATAATAGAACGAACAAACGAACGAATGAATGAATGAATAATAGAACGAACAAACGAACGAATGAATGAATGAATAATAGAACGAACAAACGAACGAATGAATGAATGAAAGAACGAATGAATAAATAAATGAATGAATGATTGATAGATGGAGAGGCCTGAGGCAGTTGGCGGACAAAAAGAAGGAAGGCTTCAAGTTAACGCACGACATCAACGATTTTAACGTACAATGCCAGGAAACTATTGTGAGTTTGTGTGCACGTGTGTTTGTGCACATGTGCGTGTATGTGCACGTGTGTGTGTGATGAAGAAGATGATGTTTGTGATGGTAATCATGACCCCGATTTTAAGGATTGATCACTTTTAGGATTATATATTATGATGGATTTTAAAAATATAAATGAGACTGTTTCATACAAACACATAAAAACTCGTGCACGCGCGCGCACACACACACACACACACAAACACAAACACACACACAAACATACACACACAAACACACCACATCACAAACAGACGTGGATAAATGATAAAGAAAAGTTGATAGAGTCGACGGACGAACTTGGAAAGGACCTGAAGGGCATGATAGTCCTCCAGAGAAGATTGGGAGGCCTTAATAGAGACCTGGGTGTCATTCAAGCTAAGGTATGTTCCTATTGTTTCTACTGGTAGTATAATGGTAGAGGGGCAGTCTTCAAAGTCACAGTGACCGTCTTCGAACGCAGGCAATTCGACATTTGTAGAAAGTTAATTCTGGAAGTACGCAAAAAGCGCTATATAAATAATTCATCAATTTTATCGTAATTTCTGTGGTAATTGTTGGTTTTTGATTATCTGATTATTATTAATCTTTTTGTTTCTACATCAAGCTAAACTCGTTGAAC